CACTGCAGGCTACTGCAGTTCTGCAGTTCGGCTGTTCAAATCTCACCGGCTTAGGGTTGACTCAGCCTTCCATCCTTCCGAGGTGGGTAAAATGAGTAAAATGAGGATTGTTGTTGGGGGCAATATGCTGACTCTGTAAACTGCTTAGAGAGGGCTGAAAGCCCTATGAAGTGGTATATAAGTCTAACTGCTATTGCTACTCTCTCAACTGTCTCATATTATTTTTTTAACCAATGGCTCATTTATTATGTTTATGCACCACTGGAAAATGCACACAGACATTGTTCCTTATAGCAGCCTAATCATGGAATTGGGTTGCCCTGCATTTTGCACTAGTGCTCAAGTTACTGGGAGAAAAAGGTGATTCTTAATGAAATTGGCAAGCAAGCCCACTTCCCAGCTATATTTTACCCCTCTTAAGTCTTGTTTAAAATGTATAGTTGCAAAAGGTAAGGAGGTAGTGTAATCTGAGAGCTGCCCATAGCAAGAGAGTTCATCTGCATGCGGTGGGCTCCTGCAAAAGCAACTAGTAAATTGAGCTAGTTAGGGTGCCACATCTGTCCTAATCCTAATTTGATTTCAAGCCAATTACCATAGTTAGTGAAGCATTTTAACGAAATTGTCTGAGAATTGAACCATTCACGTTTTAGATTTACATATGTTGAGGAGATGGAAAAATTCAAGGATAACACTCTGTGGCTCTTTATTCCTTCCTTAAGTTAAAGGTTAATCATTTTCTGACACTAAAGGCCTCCTGCATCTAATTTATAAAAACATAAAATGCATTGATCCTGGAGAGGAATAATTTAATCCTCTCCTCCCCTTTCTATATGGAAGGATTTGATTTGTATGAAAATCCTTTTTTTTTTACTGACTTTATTCAACTACCCCTTTCTTTTTATATTTCTATTAACTATTCAATACATTCAAGATAAAATCCCCATGGCATCTAGGACTCATCACATATCCTGGATGTCCTATAGCTGCCTTCTCTTTCCCACCTATTGCACAATGAGGTACATATAGATACAGGGATCAGATAGTATCCTCTGTTAGCCAATGCATCTTCCCGGCTTGCCTGCTCAACTGGAATTGGGTTGTCTGTAATGACAATTTGACCATAACATGATCTATAGCTCAGTTAAGGGATATTTCACTAGTTATGTGAGAAATGGACCTCACCTTCGTAGCAGTAGACCAATTTCTGTTAAAGGAATTTGACTCAAATTAGTACCCAGTTTTCACATATAATTTATGTATCAGAATATGCCATAATTTTTGAACTAAGAGTCACACTTTGTCATTAGATTGCACAAATGTACTACAGAAGCTTCTGGGTAGGTGCCCACCCACATTGGACCACAAATACATCATGGGACAAGTGAAGTGGCATTTTTTTTTAATAGTAAGGAGTTGGTCCAGCTACATGGCACCCCCTAGCTGACTCTCTAAAACGTTAAACCGAGATACAATTAGTGTTTGGATGAGAGATCACCAGAAATAGATAAGAAGTCAAAAGATACGGGTGGTCCTTGCTTAATGATAATTTGTTTATGACCATTCAAAGTTAAAATGAACACAAAATGGGTGTTTTATAATCTGTAAAGGACTCCAGTCAACATAACTGGTTGTGCTGCCCCTCCATGGTCATATGATCATGTCTGGCAGATCAGCTTTATGACTGGTTGCAGCATTCCATGGTTACATGACTCCAATGTGCAATAGGTTTTGCCAGTTTCTGATTTTCAAATGGAGTCACTCAATGACCATGGCATTCAATTAACATCCATGGAGTTCACTTAAAATGGTTGTATTCTCTAATAACACTAGAGTTATAAAAGACCAGAGAATCACTTTTGATCAATAGATACCTCAACTTCTGACTTCAATGACTTACCACTATCATTCTAGGCTCAAAGACAGCTGTAAGTCAAGGCCTATCTGTATCCTTGAAAAAGGCAATACCAAACTGCTTTGGCATCACTGCCAAAAGAACTAGATGGGTGTATGTGTGGTATCTGTAACTTAATAATCTTATCATGTGATGATTTTACAATGGAGGCGGAAATTGTTATATGAAGGCAGGCTAAAATGTAAATGCACATGCCAGAAATTATTCAAGAGTTGCTAAAGTACTCCCTGTAACTAGCTGTCCTTATGCCACTTTCTCTTGTTGTTATGTCTTCCCCCTCCGTTTCTGCTGTATTAGACAACCTGTGACCCCTTGACTCACTGCTTCAGAGATCCTTTCTTACCAGATTCCTCAATGCCTTCAACAATGGCAGCTTGTAATGTACTAGAAAAATTCTTTAAAAATTCAGAGAGACCTTTGAAGATCTGTGTAGCATAGTCAAGCATCAGTTGACTACGGGAAATATTTCATATTTTTTCCTATGTTTTTATGATAATGTCATGTTTTATAAAATTTGCCAAATTTCAATTTTATACGAGTCCTGCAACTTACATTTTAGATGCATTCTGTAAGTTAGTCCATTTGAACTACTTTGGTTCAAAAGGTTTTGACCTATGATGCACCATTTCACCCAGTTAAAGGTTACAGGAACAAGAGTTTTAGTAGTATATGTTGCATTGCAATTGGGTTTCCGTTTTCTGATTATGTATATGATTTTTGCAGAAATTTCAATCATGCTGTCCAAGGCTTCACTACAGACCACTTAGCCTTATTAGTGCTGGTGATTGTGGACATTTTGTCTACTCTTTGTCCAATGTTACCTGGAGAAATAGATTATCAGCAGGATAGCAAAATTAGTTGGTTGGTTTCAGAGTGATTTCCCCCTCCCGTTAATAAATAACTATTTGGTTTTTAAAGAACTGGAAAGATGGATATGGCCTGGGACTTAATCCAGTGCATAAACGTTTCTCATCTGATCCTAACATTCTTTAAAAAGATCCAATCCCTCTTCCCACTTTCCATTTCTCCTTAGTGTCCCTTTCCCTTATTTCTGTATTCTGATTCACTCCTGATGTATTCTCTTCCCAAGGTAAGATGACTCTAATATCTCTTGGTTTTCAAATCCTTAAAAATGGTAATTGCTTTCTTCTCTTTTTCATTCTTCCTCCTGATGCACAAGCAGTATCACGACTGAACAGTCTCGAGGCAGCGGTCCACCGTCTCAACGTGCAATTCTATCACATGGATGTGCGAGTGTCACAGTTCTCCCAAGGTCTGGCTGAATTGAAAGGGGGCCTGGCTGAGGCTAGTGAGTCACTTGTCTCTCTGAATGAAGTTGCCATACGCAATCAGAAAGAACTTGGACGCATTGATGGTGAGGATGAAAAAGGAGAGTGGAATCATTCCCCGCCCCCCAATCTATAGCAATGTTTTTGAATTTCCGTTCCCAGATTTCCAGCCGGTATCTTGGTTGGGGAATTCTGGGAGTTGAGGTCCACTCATCTTATAAGTTCATTAGCATAATAGCCAGGGAATTCTGGGAGTTGAGGTCCACTCATCTTATAAGTTCATTAGCATAATAGCCAGGGAATTCTGGGAGTTGAGGTCCACTCATTGCTGAGACTGAGAAATGCTGTTCTATAGGATTTGCGTTACAATCCCAACATCTAAAAGCCCAGAATGGAGGAAAATTGCACTAGCAGTTTGCATGAAATTAATCCCAGCAACAACGAAGATGGTCAAGCTGAGCTTAGATCTCCAGGAGCATAAGTGTCTTTGATCTTCAATCTCCAAGGAATGGAGGACATTGTCCAGAATCTTTGGAAATTTGGAGATCACCCTGAGTGCTGGTTTCAGTTGCCAAATCCCTCCAAAAGGGAAAGCTCGCCACTTTATTTTACATAAAGCAGACATCCTACTTGAAAGAATCAGTTATAAATACTGCTTGCTGGGCTTGCTGATCTCCGCTATCTGCTGAGACAAAAAGATCAAAGGAAAGGTTATTCAAAGGGTTGTCTGAAATGGCGCATGAGTTGAGAGAACTAAAAGGAAGAATCCGGTTTTCAAGGGCATTCCTCTGCTGTTATGACCTGATGCAGTTGTGAAATATTGGACTAGAATTGATTGTGGAAAAACAGGTTTAGATTCAGCCACATAAAGTCACTGGATGACTTGGGTCTGATCATCCGTTTTGCCCAACCTATTTCACAGGCTTGCTGCTGTGTGGATAAAAGGAAAGCCTTATAAAACCTAGTAAATAAATTAATCATTGCTTATGCATTTCCCACAAACTTTTATAAAATTCATAGGGCAGGGATCTGGCCCTTTGCATTCTATATATCTCTAGGCGTTCTTAGCTAGTATAACACCACTAAGAGCCGTAGTGGTACAGTGGTTAGAATGTAGTATTGCAGGCTAACTCTGAGGTGGGTGAAATGAGGACCCAGACTATGGGGGCAAGTTGCTGACTCAATTTGCTAAAAAATCTGTAAACCGCTTAGAGAGGGCTGAAAGCCCTATGAAGCGGTATTTAAGTCTAATAAACAAACAAACAAACAAACAAACAAACAAACAAACAAACAAACAAACTCTGCCCACTATCAGGAGTTTGATCCTGACTGGGTCGACTCAGCCTTTCATCCTTCTGATGTCTGTAATGAGGACCCAGATTGTTAGGGCCAATGTGCGGATTCTATAAGCCAAAGCACTATGAAAAATATATAAGTCTAAGTGCTATTGCTATTACTACTAATCACTATCTTTGCCCAACCCAGGTTGCTTGCGTGGCCGGCGCACTCAAACTAAATGCTTCCTGATCTTCAAGCACTTTGAGGCCTACGATGCAGCCCAAAAACTTTGTGAAGCCAGAGGAGGGCATTTAGCCATGCCAGTGGATGATACCGAGTTGACTGTCCTGCGCCGCTATCTCTATGATGCTTTTCAGCCTTATAATTGGCCATCCTGGGTGGGCATCAATGACCGGCGTTCTGAAGGGTTGTGGCTTTTTGAGAATGGTCAACGTGTCTCTGTCTTTGACTGGTACCAAGACCATCTGGTGACTCAACCCAATGGTGGCATCCGTGAGAATTGTGTCTCCCTCAGCTCAGATGATGGGAAATGGTGGGACAATGACTGTGAAAGGCGCATGTATTACATCTGTGAATATCGCCTCTAGTGTTGTATCCCTTTTCAATGCTCAGTCCTTGGTTGGTTGCATTGGTGCCCTTTCACTACTAGTCTATGGGTCCAGTGACAGCTAAAAGTTCTGGATATTCCATGTCTCCTCAATTTTATACATGGATCTATTTGTTTCCCTTCTTCACCTGCCATACCCTCCCAGCTAATACTCTTCAAATGTAAGGAATGGCAGCTTCCTGGTATTTTTGTCAAGATGAATTTTTCTGTACTGGGCAGGTTTTAGTCCCAAACAGATAGTATTTCATTTAGAAAGCAGCTGTATCCTACAGTCTGCAGAGAAAAAGGGATTTTTAAAAATTCTTTTATTAAAGTACGTAACATGTTCAGTGTCTAAAAGGGTTAACCCATGTTTTGCTTTGGAAGCCTTGAAAAAAACTAAAAAGGACACTAGAGCCCATCCTTCTTTGGTGACATTCCTGAATCACTGGCACGCCCCCTGCAGGCCACAAAAGACAATTTTTAAAAAAATACCAGGCTCCTGGTGGTGGTGGTAGGGAATCACTTATTTAGCCCTAAGCAAACAGAAAAGATACATAAAGTGCCTCTTGCTTCTTTTTAGTGCGTAGTAAATCTGCAGTAACAGTTGAGTATTCATTACATGCCAAAGCCAGGGAAAAAAGCCTAGAATCTAAATCTGTATTGAAAATCCTCTGTCTACAATACCCTGTTCACTGACAACATGGAGATAACAGAATCCATTCCTCATTGGATCTCTTCAGGAACTCAAACTTAGTTGGGATCATTGTCTTCTGAAGTTTTAGCCCTTTGTCCTTACCCCAGTTAATTGATCCAGGCACTTAGTATTAGCAACGGACGAAAATATCCTTCTTGGAGCTTTTTCCCTACAGCCCTGCACTAGCAATTGCAGTTCGGATGAAAAAGGTTTCCATCCTATAGGATTTGACCCTGCAGGACTGCATGCAGCTCCTAAACCTGTGATGGCGAACCTATGGCACGCATGCCACAGGTGGCATACAGAGCCATATTAGCCAGCATGGCAGCCCTCAGCTCTGGCACACATGCATGATTTTTTTTGCCTTCCAGAGAGCTGGGGGAGGCCATTTTCGCCCTTCTAAGGCTTCAGGAAAGCTTCTGGAGCCTGGGAAGGGTGAAAACTCCCTCCTCCCATGGGGGGTGCGCATGCATGCATGCATTGCATTGGTGCATGCATGTTCAGGTAGGTGGGCACACGTGCGAGATAGCGTGCACACGATTTTGGCACACTTTTAGAAAAAGGTTAGCCACCACTCTTCTAAGCCCTTTTGAAAAAGCTGCTTCCAACTACAACATCGGAACATCAGCCCTGGAGTTCTGACCTTTTGAGACACAAAATGAAATGTGGGGTACAAAACACCATGCAACATCAACAAATAAATTGCCATAAACTCTCCCTTAAATTAAGGAGGAGGTGGGAAGGAGCAGGGAACATCCATTTGTTTGATTCAGTCTGACCTACTTTGTACCATTACCCTACCCTTGAATGTTAACACTGCCAACCCAACCATATGCCATGGCCATATTAATGTGATGATTAAATCAATTTCCTTTTTAAAAGTTCTACATACTAAAAGAGGTTACAAACGATTCTACATTTCTCATAAAGACCGAAAGTGATGTAAGGATTCACAACTTTCTGAAAGCAGGATGAGTAACAGATAACTTGTTTCTATTTAATGCAATACTCCAAGAGTAAAAGCAAAATTATGTTGGGAGTTGAACTCTTGATGACTTACTCGGATGCATTAATGTGGCTGATGTTTCCCATTTCTATCCCCCTCCATTGTTTGCTGCTGTCTTCTACTGGGATATTTTTTTTCAAATTCCCTGTCATTCAATAGCCCTTGACTTTCTAGGTGACATCCCTCTGAGTATTGAGTACAGTCAACACAGCTTAGCTTTGTAAATCAGCCAAGGTTGGTTAGGTACTGTCACCAGTTGAGAACCATATTCTATTAGCTGTATCAAATCAGGGTCATATGAAGAAGGATGATGTCCAACAGTTGGTGGGCCTCATATCACCCACCAGATGCTACCAAACTACAACCTCCAGGAGCATGGCAATAATGGGACACACTAAGGGATGCTATTCAGCAACTTGTAAAAAATCCCTGGATGCCAACCCCTGCAGTTTTAGTAATAGTATTTGTCCTGGATTAAGCATTAACTCTCTTGTGGCAATGGCCTCTATAGGGCAGCCTGACTTCCTTTTTGGCACTAAAACAATGGCTACTAAACACTCTTGATTCATAAAGGGACAGCCATGAACAATTAACCAGATGTGATCTGCAGACAGGCTATTTTTGGAACTGCTACGGGGCAGCTCCATAACTTCCATTATTCCTAGCCAATTTGAAGAAATGCTGGATGAGACTAGCAACCAAAGACAACAGAACTGGATTATAAAGTCAGAGGGTAATGTCTTATTCAAACAAGGCTAGAGGGGGAAGTTTTCTCGAGTTTTTAGCTCTACTGCATGCTTGGGTGTTGATGACCTAAAGAATCACCACCCCTATTACAATCTGGAGAAAAAATTCTTCAGTCTTCCCCCTCACCCATCTTAGTACAAGATGCACAATCTTTTTTAAGATAAAATGTCTTTTATTGTTGTTCTTTGAATTATTAATCCCCCACCCAAACAAAACTTGTTTTAAAGTGAAGAGGATTCTGCCTGTATAAATCTGTCTTCAGCTGTTCCTCTTTCATGTGATAACCAGTGGGGAAATTCAAATTTCTTTTCCACCGGTTCTGTGGGTGTGGCTTGGTGGGCGAGGCAGGGGAAGGATATTGCAAAATCTTCATTCCCACCCCACTCTGGGGCCATCCAGAGGTGGCATTTGCCGGTTCTCTGTATTATTCAAAACTTCCGCTACCGGTTCTCCAGAACCTGTCAGAACCTGCTAAATTTCACCCCTGGTGATAACCCTGAACTTTTTAATGTGTGCTAACAGGAGAGGGTATGACATAGGAAGAATAAGGAAGGCATTACATGGGGAAGGGCATGATCAAGAGGCAATGAAAAGTCTAGTGGTTAAGGCACCAAGCTAGAAAATGGGAGACTGTGAGTTCTAGTCCTGTCTTAACCATGAAAGCCAGCTAGGTGATCTTGGGAGAATGGGACAGTCACTTTCACAGCCCAACTTATCTAACAGGGTTCTTATTGTGCTGGGGAAAACAGAAAATTGGATATATTTGCCACCTTGAATTATTTGTAAAAATAATAAAGGAGGGGTATAAATACATAAAATAGAGAAATGGTTAATACTTTCTTTGGTTTAAATGGCGATTGTCCCTCAAATGGAAGGAAGGCCAGAGGAATCATAGTACTTTTCTAGCATCCTTTCTTCTTTTGGCTCTGTATCTTCATTTTGGGGGATGGGTGAGGAGAGAAAGGAATGCTACATACATTCACAGAATCCATAGTGCAAGCAATATATCTCAGTACCGGGAAGTCATCCATCAATTATGTTGTCCATCATCATTCCATAAGTTAGTATGAGAAAAGGCTTGGTTAATGTACCTTTTGTTTAGGTACTCCAGGGCTCCTTGAAAAGCAAAAACCCCTTGAGACCAATCACATGCCTGCTTGTGTGTGTCTGAATTACAACCCAAACTTCTTGAAATATTCCATGCCCTCCTCCTGTTTCCCTGAACCACTGCTGTCATTATTTTCAGCTCCCTACACCAATTTATTTCTCCCCAACCCTTATCTTTTTCCCTGTTATGAATCTGTCTCTCTATGGTAGGCACGGACTAGTCCACTCCTATTCCCCTTTTTATGTCCCTACTTACTCTTAATACATCATTTCTGTCCTCAAATGATCTCTCCTTCTGACCCATACATGGCTTGTTCCCGCCCCCTGTGGTATCTCTTCTCTGAGAGGCGAGGCCTACTGTGTAGAATACACAGCTATACACTCTCAAAAACATTAGTTTCCCTCACATTTATGGAATATTCCAGCACATCAGCCCTCCTACTTCTCTGGAAGATTCAACATGATCTAATTCGGCCTTCCCCCTCCCCCTTCCAAACAAAGCCTACTAAAAGCCACAGCTGTTTCTTTTATTCCAGATCAGCCTTCTTAGCTGGTGCTCTACAACTTCATTGAACTAATATTTTCATAGCTCCCAAACAACTGGTGGGAGTAGAGGGAAAACTGTATTTTGATCCCCGGATGATGCAATTCGAGGAGGTCTGCCCTAGTTTGGCTCATGGACTTTCCCTCCCCCTCCCCCACAAAACACCCAAATGGTTTGTTCTATTTCCCTTTCTCCAAAACACACAGACTGTAGGTGCCCTCTGGACCTTTTGGCCAGCCAAGCAGAGGGAAGTAGATACAGGACACATGGGAACTTTTCTCCCATTTCAGTCTTTTGTGATGGAATGCTCAAAGATCCTGCAGACAGATGCTCACCCAAGCCTGCTTTCTTTGTGTACTCTAATAGAGCATCGCACGGTTGCCATGGAGGAATACAAGCATATCAACATGCTCTGGTGTCAGGGCTTGGCGCTTAGTGTGGATGGCATCCCCAGTGCTGCTGAAGATCCAGCCAGTAGGCACTGAGGTGGCAGGCACTCCTAGGAACTTGCGGGCTGCCCGGGCCAGTAATGGGTACTGGGTGTGGTGGATCTTCCACCACTGCAGGGGTTCCTGAGCGAGGGCAGAGGCTTTGCTGGTTTGGAAACTAGCTGTCTCCTGCTCGGCTTGCTGATGGGCAGAGCTGATGCCTGGGCCCCCACGCATGCTGCAAAGATCTCCCAGCAGGAATTCAATGCCTGCATCTTGCTTTGGCAGCTTGGAAGGGGGAGATGAGGAAGCCACATCAGGAAGGCTGGAGGTTAAGAAGGCAGGGGCCTCGGCCAAGTGGGACACTTCAGCCTTGAGCAAGTGCAAAGTTTCCACCCGATCAGAATGGCTCAAGAAGTCCAGGCCATGAAAGCGGGGATCCAGAGCGCAGGCTAGATTGAGGGCCTGGTTAACTTCAGGGCTGGAGAAATGGTGGTTCAATTCCTTCCGAGCTGCTGCTTTGGCTTCGAGAGCCAGAACAGAGTCCCACTCACTGGCTACCAAGTGCTTGTAGAGGAGGCTAGTTAACACGGGTTTGACTAGGGCGAGACTGGAAAAGGGATCTTTGGTAAATGTTGAGGTAGCAATTGCCATGGACTTGAGAACTTGGACTATGTCCTGAAGGGCAGTCCAGTCCTGTGGGTGTAGGACTGCCTCCCCATCGGGACCGATCCCTGACAGAGACTTGCTATACTCTAGCAAGTCCTGTAGAATTGTGTAGACACTGTGCCATCTGCTCCCATCTCTCAGGAAACGACTGAGGTGGGCTTGCAGGAGGGGCTCCCGGAACCATAGTTTTTCATTACGGCCTGCTCCGGTCAGTGCCCAAGAAGCCAAGCGACGGAGGCGCTCCAGGGCACTCTGGGCCACCGGCTGGCCCAGCACTGCTTCCATCGCTGCCCGCAAGGCCTGCCCAATGCAAGGCAGGGCTGTCCACCCCAGGGCTGCAGCTGCTTGCTGGACGGCAGAGCCCAGGCCTCCCACAGTGTACAAAGTGCTCTCGTGTACTCCCCATTCTTTGGTGGCCTCAGTCAGAGTCTCCACCAGGCATTCAGTGCTGGGATTCTCAGGAATAGGGCGGCTCGAGAGGACCCTGGCCCGGGGTTCAAAGCAGTCATCCACATAATGCACAGTGAGTGTGAGGTAGGTCAGAGTGCTGCTGTGGTGCCATACATCCAGACTAAGGGAACACTGAGGCAGGGCACGGACCAGTTCCCAGATTTTCCCTTTCACCTGGGTATACATGTCCTTCAGCACTGAATGGGCCAGGGCAGCAGCTTCAGGAGGCTTGTAGTTGGGGTCCAGAACTGCTAGCATCTGCCCAAACCCCTCACCTTCTACCACCTCCACTGGCATCAGGTCCAACACAATAAAGTCAGCCACTGCCCGTGTCGTCCGGCCAGGGACTGGAGGCCGAGGAGTTCCAAACTCGCCTGCACCAGCCATTCCTTTGTCGAGGGTGGCCACCTGCGTCCCAACGAGCTGGTTGTACTCACAACGATGCTTGTAGATGAGATGTTGGCGTAAGTTGGTGGTGTTTCCGCTGTAGCTCAGCCGGACTCCACAAAGCTTGCAGATGATCTTGCTCTTGTCGAGGATGCGCCCAAGGGCATCCCCCTGGAAGCCAAAGAAAGTCCAGTAGCGGCTTTGAGCCCGGCCCAAACCCACCAGATTTTGTGTCCCTTCCAGCAGGGGAAATGTGCTTCCTCCTACGGGAAGGCCTGGCTTGTGGAGGGGCAGGAAAGATGAGGCAGTGGCATCTCCACACAGATATTGGGTTCGAGAAGAAGGAGCATGGGGACCTGGAGTTGGTGACTGAGTCTTGACATGCAGCTCTTGGAAGAGTTTCATCAATAATTCTTTCTCGCCAAATTCATATTTGAAATGCTCACCTGTGGGGGAATGGGAGAAGTTGCGTCACAGGGACAAGACACTTGCCCTTTATAGTTGAAGGGCGGTTTCTTTTCCTTAGCATTAAAAAGTAGTACCAATTCTGATAAACATATATGTCCTTCCTCCCACAACAACTTTCAAAGGCTAAATTTCCCTCTTTGCTTTTGTACACCTGGAGACATGTGCAGTTTTTCAATTGCAAAACTCTTCGGTGAGCAAGCAAGGCAGATACCTGGCTAGAGGTGTGATGGAACATAGTAAGTAAGGTGGATACCCAGAAGCAAGGAGGGCATTTCAGAGGGATAAGAGGCAACTCAGTATGAAGATTGTGTGTGAGAGAAAGAGGGTGAAGGCAACCCCTTCCTAATAGTTCACTGAGTATACCAGGGATGTCAAACTTGATTTCATTGAGGGCAGTTTGATCTTGGGGGCTGGGCTGGGTGTGGCCAGAGTGGGCGTGGCCAGCTTGGTTTTACTCATGTTGGGCATGCCTGTGATGGTCTGAGCACTCTGCCAACAAAAACAGGCTTCCGAGTTCCGTTTTTGGCCACGACGGCTTCTGTAGTCCTCTGCCGGTGAAAATGGCGAATGGAAGGGTTGTGCACGCCCCCCCCCCCGGCCCCGTTTTCATCTGCAACCGCCTCCTGCTGCCCTTTGTCAGTAAAAACGGAACTTGGGAGGGCTGCACACACTTGTCTGGGCCCTGTTTACATCTGCAACAGCCTCCTGCTTCTCTCTGCCAGTGAAAACAGAGTTCAGGGGAGGCATGTTTCGCTGGCAGAGGCACCGCAGGCCAGTCCTTCACTGTTTCCAGGGCAGCTCCGTGGACCAGATCTAAGGTCCCAAGGGCCGAATCTGGCCCATGAACCTTGAGTTTGACACCTCTGGAGAATATGATACATGCAGAGAACTCAGTCTGGCAAGATTTTGTTTACAGGTGTGAAATAATAAAGAACTCTACTTGAAAGAATGACCACTTCTTGTTCTTGGTTTTAGGCTGGATATAAATCTAGTTGTGAGGAGAGGGAAAAAGAAAGAGAGGGGGAGGGGAGTAGAATGGATGACATCACCAGTGATTGGGTCTGACCTTAGCCACAACTAGGTGAAGTACCGCAGGGAATTATCACTGATATGAGAAGGTGACTACAACTATCCTAGGCCTACAACACCAGATAGACTGACCAAGTTAAAGTAAATAAATACCAATGTAAAAATGGCTGATAACTCATGATCGCCAAATCACGCAGAGCTCTGCTTTCTTATGGGATTCTGTAACATCAACTAAAGAAAATGAAAAAGGAGGGGTTTTTTTTGGGGGGGGGGTGGTGTCTAGCAACACTGTGTTATATTGTGTAATGTTCAGTGTCTATAAACACAGCAGATTCTTAGCCCAATAGAATGTGACCCCCCCCATAAGAAAAAAAGTTATTCATATTGCTTTATAGCGAGGGTTGCAAACTCCCAGGCCATGGAGCAGTACTGATCTGTGGCCGGTTAGGCAGGGGACTGCCCAGGTGGAGATGAGCAGCAGGCAAGAAAGCAATACAGAAACCATCGCCCCCATCCCGGTTCAGGGGAAAGTTGACTTCCATGAAACCTCCCCCTGGGGACAAAAAGGTTGGGGACTGCTGCTATATTAGAATTAGGATACTAAGTCTATCAATTTAAAAGGGAAGATGTGAAGCAGCAAAGCTTCCATTAGCCTGGATTTTGTTTTGAAATTGATTACATTTTTGTTTGGGGGTGCTATTAGCCAAAATCAATCTACATATCCCCAATGTATCCTGAAATGTAGACACTTTAATTAATTGAGCAAAACAATGTTTCTTAACCTCAGCATGCTGGCTGGGGGAATTCTGGAAGATGAAGTCCATGTATATTAATGATACTAAGATTGAGAAACAAACCATGGATAAGTACGTCATCTAGTAGGCTTATTAAGCCTGGGGTGTGCAAGCTTCTTCTAAGGGAGGGTTGCATTTTTTCAAGATATTTGGGGTCACATGGTGAGACTCAATAGCACTATTTGGATTACACGGTGCATATTTTTTTTTAAAAAAACCTGTATTAATTGATAGAGAGTTGGCATTGTTTGGAGCTAGCCCAACCTTCCTGGTCAACTAATTTCACGTGTGTTATGGGAAGTAACTCTCCTAACATCTGAAATATAGGAGAGCACCCTTCCCCTTAAAATTCTGATGTCCATGATTGAGATGAAGCTAGACAGGTCAATATCTTTTTGCCATTTACCCTGCCATTTATCCATGACCAGAATACTACGAATGAAAAAGGGACAGAAATGGTTGGGAGCAGTCATTAAATCTAACTTTTTGCCACCGGTTCTGTGGGTGTGGCTTGGTGGGTCATGTGACTGGGTAGGCGTGGCCAACTTTTTTTCACTTTTTGAAGCATTTTTTCCTACCTATTCGCCCAAACTGGCAGGAAAAAAAAAGCTTTAAAAACTGGACAAAAAAAAAAGGTTCTGATGATCGTGCAAATCAGCTGTGAGCCAAGCAACTGTTGGAACATCTTTTCCCCACATTTTAAAGCATTTGTTCCTGCCGGTTGGGCGAATAGGCAGGAAAAAATGCTTCAAAAAGTGAAAAAAAGTTGGCGATCATCGGAACCTTTAACTTTACTGCAATGGCCCAATCTAACTATACTGTTGTTTTTTTTACCCCCAGATAGAGAAAAAAAAATTACAGGGATAGAAAAGTGACAACGCGTAGCTCCTTTTTGGCAGCTGAGAAGACTAAAAAGAGGCTGCTAAATCACTATTTGAATAATTAAGGATTGCGAGTACTGAGCACACAAAAGTGAATCACTTAATTTAGCATGCGAAGACGAGACTTCTTAGGGGTTTCTTACAGGGTTTTAAAATCAAATTTTAAGGGGGGGGTTGATTCGGATGGCTCGGACGGCTCATACAGGCTTGGGGGGGGAGTCTGCCAGGGCACAGGCCACAGCTAACTAATGGGTGC